CCCCGAGGCGTGCGATCGCGCTGCACCTGGGACTCGCTGAGATGAGGAAGAGGATGCCAGAAATGCAATCAATGAGGGGCCGTGTCCACACAGCATCTCATCAGCCCTCAGGCAGCTTTCTGGCTGCCTTTGTAGGAAAAGCCAAGTGATTTGGGTAGGGGCTTATAATGAGAAGGTCCTACCAGCTTCCCTGTTGCCCTCTTCCTGCAGCTTTGCATCACAGGGCCCTCGGCAGCATCTCTTTTTAATGCCTTGCTAACGTCCTGACCCTGTGGCAAGGCTTTGGCTGCATTCAAACCACCTTGTGATGATGCCCGCCCTGAAATGCAAATGATTTCCAACGGCATTTGCAGCAGGGCCTCCAAAACCTGATCAATTCTACGCGCCGCTCCACTGATAACGAGAAGAATAAAAACTTCCCTAAGACGTTACATTTTGGTTAATCCAAACCCATATGGTCCTGGAGCATCGTCTGGTATCCTAATAAGTCTGAAGCATCCACTTAAGACAGGTATTTAACAGATGGCTTAGCATAGCTCACTAATGTTATTCATCAGTTCATCCATTATGTATTTTTTTTAGGGGAGTTTCAGTTTGCTTTTCCTGAGTGGGAAAATTCCATTAAATGCAGCAGAAGAGAGGTGGGCGTTTATTGAGGAGTACAGAGAGTCATGTCCAGAGCCCCTGGGTTTATTCGAACCGAGGGAAGGAGAGGTGGGCTTCTGGAGAAGGTCGTCTCCTCCATGGTCGCCAGCACGGGCACTTCCAGCAGCCTCGGACATGGTGAAAGCTGAAGGGCTCTGGCAGGCAGCATTGTCCATTTGAGACTGGGTTGTCGAAGAAGAAGCAAGCCAGGAGAGGGAGGAAGCACAGAGAGCATCCCAGGAAACGAGTAGCACGAGGGTCCGCATCATAGAGCCTGCCAGCAAAATGCACCGCCTTTCCACTGGCTTTGGCTAGCCTGTGGAGAAGCCATGCTGCCTGGGGAGTGATGGATCCGTAGTTATTTTGCTTTTAATCTGTTCTCGATATGACAAAAAGGCACAGTGAGCTCTGGCCTCGCCGTGCTGGAGTAATCTCCCGCCCGGGCGGCTTCATGAAAAGCTCATCGATCAGGCTTGGCTATGGCACATCACGCTGCGGTCGAGACGTCTCCTGGTCTTGTGACTGTCCAAGTTCGGAGGAGATGTGCACTGGGAGAGCCCGGACCAATAATGTGCCCACATCCATGAGCCTCAAGGCAGAATATGACCTCCCATCTCTGCTCTGCATCATTTCTGGATCCTTGCTAGCACCTGGCAGGCCGAGACCTTCATGAGGCTGGCTAAAACCTGAGTTGTCCCACCGGATGCTCTTCCTACCCCCCGTCTCGCCATGAGCCAAGAGGCAGGGGGTGAATTGTCTGGGGCAAGATGGGCACGGTGAAGGGGAACTCCATGGGCACGGTGGAGGAGCTGGCAGCGTGTTATCTGTACAACCCCAGGAGAGAAGGATTTGATCTGTAATCAGAGAGTGGCCCAGGTACCCACGGCAGTTTCAGCTGCTTCTGTTTTCTAAAGCAATTAGTGCTACACCATAGGCATCCTTGGGTCCTCTGTTGCTGAGCTGAAACTCATTATAATCCAGACCCTCCCAGATCTCTCTGCCATGGGGACGTGACACAGCTGCTAAAGGACAGCCGGGAGGACCAGTGTGCTTGCACGTGCGTGTGTGCACGGAAAGCAGCTTCCCTTTGGAGGAGAGGAAAGCACAGGGACACGGAGCTCATGTTACCTTCCTCCAGACTTGTCTCATTTTGGGAATCAGTGGAAATATCATTTTAATAACACTTTTATGGGACCTGAACCAGGCAATGCCCCCATGCTGTAGCTGGTGCTTTCACATCGTGTTTCCAGCTGACTTACATGCCTGGAGGTTATCCCAAGCGCGGTCGTTTAGCAGGGATAATAAAGCTGCCCCGGCTGTGGATCTGGAGGGGTTTGATCAGGGCAACAGCATGATGGACTGCGTTGCTTTGTAAAAGGGTCAGCTGAGCCCTTTCATAATGGAAGCAAGATTCACTGGGCGCCTTGTAGTTGGAGCGGTGTGTCCCAGAGACACCAGACATTGGGATTTCTGAAGCTGGTGGAGAGCAGGCCAAAATCCAGGGCTGAATAAACCCAGTGCACCAACAGCCCCCAAGCTTGTCCCTCCTCGCCTCCTGTTTCTGCCGTGATCCCCAGGGAAGCAAATGAGTTTATTACAGCTCCCGGAGAAGACTTGGGATTACTGAGAGTGCTCGTCTGCAATGCAATAGGGCTGCAGGGGCTCGGTCTGAGTCTGGGGCTCCTGTGGGCACCCGGGGTCTCGGAGAGCTGCGAGTCCTGGCTTGTAAGAAGGTGCAGCCTGGGGATGGAGACACACGGCGCGCGTGGCAGGCGAGGTGACCGACAGCCAGAGGAGCATGGCTTCGTATCACGCGCAGGCCTCTCTTTCTGCAAAATCACGTCTTGTATAATGGCAGCATCCTTCCCCTTGGCTTCAACTGCAAGAGTTTGGAGCTTGAGTTGGGCTGCCTGGCACTTCTGCAGTGCGTGCAGCAAGACTAGGGATACCTGCATGCGTCCAAAGGGAAAACATATGTTGGGTTCAATTCCTCCCAACAGCAGATGCAAGGTGATGGGGTGCCGGATGCATCTGGTCTGTGGAGGGGTGTATCACCCCGGTACAGGACCCTTGGCACTTCCAAGGCTGCAATGGGTAGCAATTCATTTTGGGGCATGTAAGCAGGAGGAAGAGCATTGCTTTTTTTCTGGCTGAAGGGCTGTACAATAGGATGGTGAGGATACAGTTAAGTGAAGGACAGTGTTGAATGCTAGTGACCAGGGCAGCGAGAGCTCTCTTTTTGGGAGCAGTCATTGCTTGGTGCTGGAAACAAGCCTGAGCGTGGCATTCAGAGCTGCAGCAGAAGGGACGACCCTCTGGCAGGGGAACGGATGAAATGCCTTGCTAGGACTTTTTCATCTCCGCTCTCCATAGTTCTCCATATCTCCAAAGCTGTCTAAATCCAGGCCTGCCGTCAGCGTGACACTGAGCTGCTGAGACGGGTCCAGCCGCGTGCTGCCCTCGGGTCCATCCCGAAAGCCGAGAGCTCTGCTCAGTCGGTGCTTTTCTGGCACAGGTGGAGCGCAGCGGCTTGACACAGCCTTGGCTAGCTATGAGAGAGGCGCGCAGTAAAATTAACAGTCAAGACCTTTCCGGAGTCACGCGGGGAGTCGTCTGGAGCGTGCGTCACGTGGCTTTTGTCCCGTGAGAAGCCAGGCGAGCAGGAGCTGAGAAAACCCTGGTTCTGGAAGCGCTCCAAGTACAGAGCCAGCGTACGGGCCCTTTAGGTGCTGGCAGCAAAACGCACCGTATTGCAGCACCGAGGAAATCTCCCTGGTGCTACTTGTATAAAAAGAATCATTGACTTTAAGGGAAAAAATGACTTCAATTTCCTCTGCAGATTAGGCGTGGAGGAAGCAAATTACCTATTTCACTTTTCCAAGTACGTCTCAATCACCCCAAATTGTTGAGTGAAATGAAGTGAGAATTGCTCTAGTTACAGTGCTTTATAATCCCCTTTTGTGTTAGGAGGAGGAAGAGAAAAGGAATTAAAACATCTTCAGGTTATTATTACTATTCTTTTTTTAAAGACCCCCAGGCTGTTTGTCTGTCTCTAGCTGTTGTAAGGCAGGCGGCTGCCCCATCCGGGGCTGCGAGCGCATCAGTTGTCACTCATTGACCCCAACGCGGTCAGTCGCTCCCAGGGTAGGAACGGGCCAAAGAAAGCCTCCGTGAGGTAGGAGAAGCACGTGGTAAGCTCTTTTTTTTTATTTGAAGCATCTCTGATGCCTTGTCTCAGTCAAACACTTGGGGGGGTTCACCGCAGGAGAGGCACCGTTGGCTGGAGGGTGTCTTTAGCTGGGGTCCAGATGCTTGCTGCTGTCATACAGCCTTTTTGGTGGTGCAATCGCATTGAGGGGAGCTGCATGCGGGCAGGACTCCATGATGAAGCTGAGTACTTTCCATCCCCTGAAATGATCCCTGTGGGGCGGTTTGGATGGTGCACGTCTCCTCACCGCCTGTCCCAGGAGGGTGCAGTCGCTCGCAGCTCCTACCCTCGATGCAGACGCGCTCTCGTCCGGCGAGGACTGGGGTACGGCCTGGAGAGGAGGCAGTAGCCTGAGCTGGAACATGTAGCTCATGAAAATAAGCAGTGAGAGTTTTAAAAAAAAAAAAAGGGGGTCTGTGAGGCTGGAGTTGACGCTGGGTGTCCTAGAGCCGGTTGTGCCCCCGCGCTCCACCGGAGCAAGCTCTCGGAAGATTTTAGCATGGCATTACATCTTCCAGATGCTGGTAGCCCATTTAAGATCATTGTTGGTTTAATGGCTGAGCTATAAAAATCAAGAGCAAATTAGCATTTGTAAATGCGATCTTCCATGTGTATTTGCAAATGCAATTTATGCGACATGAAAGGCCCATTTGCAAACTCCAAATCATGAATTGCTCTAATCACGCATTACATGTAATTCACATAATTTTGCAAATTAATGATCCCGGCTCTGGCTTCCTCCACCGCTGCCAGGACTGACGGGAGGATTTCAGCAGGGCTGCCTGCCTCAGCCTGCAGCAAGATGGCCATTTGCTTTGAGGGTTTCCATTTAGGTCTGCAGAGACCCGAACAACGGCCGAGGCGCGTCTTCCCTCCCAGAGAAGCACCCGCGAGCATTTCTGTCTGGAGTCCTATTTCATGGCACTGTAACCATTAGAAAGGAGCCACTTTGAGTGTACAATAAAGCCAGACAGCCTCGCGGGAAGCATCCAGTTTTAAAAGGTCGTACTTTAATAGGTGAAAAAGCTCTGGGAGTAAAACGCAAATAAATGTTGCTGTGCGGCAAAGGGAGACTTGCGATCTGCTAAACGACTCTGTGCAGCCAGAGACCTCCGATGTAATTACTGTCTCCCACCACTCCTGGCAGTGGGAAGAGAGCGAAGCCAAATGCGCGGAGGCCCAGACGTCCCAGAAGGCGATGGCCGTGGAGCTGGAGACCCTGCACGTGGAGCTGGAGACCATCAGCAGGAACAAGAACCTGGTACGTGCCCCGGGGAGCAGCACGACGGGACGGGATGGGATGGGATGGGGGCTGGGTTCAGGCCCCTTTCCCCATGGCACTGTGTGACTCTATCCGGTGCTGCTGGGAAGGGCTGATGCTTGTATTTCCTTTCCAACGTCTCCCTTTCCGGGGAACGCAGCCCCAGGGCCTTCGTTGCCTTAACAGATGGATCAAGGCACGCAAGCGCTTTCCAACTGTGCACTGTATCCTAATGGCTCTGCGGAGATGCGATAAATGCTAAACCCCCTCGCTCGTTCCTTTCTGCCTACGTTGGCCATCATATCAGTGCAATGGCTGTAAATGGAAACGGGGAAAGGCGCCGGGCGGGAATGCCGTAGCAGACCCCCGCCGAGTGCGAAAACCCACCCGCGGGCCTGGCGGGAATTGGCACTTTCGAGCGCCCCCGTGAGCGAGCGGAGCCCCCGTTTGTTTGCGACAGGTCGACGAGCAGCTATACCAGCTGCAGCACGAGAAAGCCGATCTCCTGAAACGCATCGACGAGGACCAGGAGGATCTCAACGAGCTCATGGCGAAGCACAAGGCTCTGATTGCCCAGGTAAAGAGGGGGATGAAGTGGAAGTGGATGATTATGAGCGGGCGTGGGAGGTGAGAGAGCGGGAGTCAAACAGATTTGCAGAGAGGTCGGGCTGGCAGGGACCCCCAGAGGCATCTAGTGCAACCCGTCCCCGAGGCAGGATCAGCCCAGTCCAAGCCAAATCCCTTGTCCAGCCCCTTTCAGTAAAACTGCAGTCGCCCCTGACACAGCACTGGCCATCACGGCCGACCCCGCCACGGGGAAAGCAGAGGGGCCGCAGCCGCCGACATCCTGCTTCTGCACAAAGTTGTTAATAGATGGTTCAGAGACCCCAAGCAGAGGCCGCGGCCCCACTACAGAGGAAAACAAAGCCCCCCAGTCCGTATCATATCTATGCCAGGGAGGGAAAATGCCTTCCTGACCCCAGTGCAGTGTCGGTCTGACCTTGAGTGCAGGGGCAAGACCTCTACCCAGGACCCTGGGTTTGAGTCCCAGCAGGAGCATTGGCACCCCCATCCCGGGCTGCAGCCAGCACCCACCGCCTCTGGGGGAGGCTTAAACCCCCCGACGCATGGCGCAGCAAGGGTGCAGGATTCCCTCCCGGCCCCCAGCGGCAGGGGCCGTGGTAGAAAGGTAACTGGAGCACATCGTGGCTTCATACTCCGCCGGAAAGGCTAAGACTTCAGAGCGATACGATGCAGGTGGCTGGAGTCAGGTTTGCAAGAGTGTGTTACTCTGCTGAAATCATGGCTTATAATGGTTATGGCAGCCCCAGTTCCCTTATCACGTCAAAGGCATCCGGTTGCATGTGCCAGGACCTCAGGGCACGCTGCATCGGTCCATAAAAGCAGCCCCTGGATGGGCAGGCCTGAAATGAGCTCTCTCCCACTGTGACAAACTCCGGTGAAAATGCCAAAGGGCCCATGGAGCAGCTCCAAGCACATGGGTTGTCTGTTTTCAATAAACAGATCACTTTTTTTTTTTAATATTTCAAAAGTTTAAAATTAAACCCTTAAATGTTCACCGAAAATAGAATTTTTTTCTTAACCAAATTTCTGTTTAACTGGAAAAAAAAACCCCATTTCCCTCCCCAAATGAGGTTCAGTGAAAGATCAGGATGAGCTCCTTACACGAGTTACTTAGGAGCCCTTGCCCGTAAACAGGAGAGCCATCGGCAGGGCATGCTGGCTCTGTGGCTACGTGGGAAATAGGGCTGGAGGAGCGGCTGGACACTGCCAGAGTTAAGCACCTGTGAGTTAGGAAATTGCTGAGCCCGCGATGCTCTGGGGAGATGCTCCATGTGCAGTGTCACCAGGACCCAAAACAGGAGTAGTTCGCCACTTAGATGCACTAAGAAGTGCCTTTCCCTTGCCAAGAAATAGGCCCCAGCAAGTCCTTGTGCATTTCCAGCTCTGCTCCGAGTTCTTCGTCTCGTTCCTACCGCTGCGTTTCTGTCTCCACAGTCTGCAACGGACATTGCTCAGATTCGAGAGCTGCAGACGCAGCTGGAGGAAGTGAAGAAAGAGAAGCAAAGTCTGCAGGAGAAAGTAAGTCCTTCTCTTCTCATTGCACGCGGGTCCTCCTGCCCTCTGCATTATTTCCGTGCAGAGCTGCGCCCAGGGATTCACCGACGTCCTGAGCGACCGCCCCAAACTATGAGTGCCGTGTGCTGGGGCAGGTCGTGTTTGCACCCGTCTTCCCCCACGAGGGGTTGTCTATATAAACACCAAGGTGCTCGTCCTCTTTGTAATGCCCTGCTCGGATGCGTCAGCACGGTAGTGCAAGAACAGATGTAAAAGCTGCCTGGCCTGCTATTGACTTTTCTGAGGGCAGTGCTTGGAAACTGGGCGGCCTGGGGAGACCTGCTCGTGCTCGTCCCTTGGGGAGGACGAAAGCGTGCACGAAACGGGCGCTTCGAGAGCTGAACTGCTGGTTTCTCTGCTTTGGCAGCTTCTTGCGGGCTGTCTTCTGTGCAAGGCAAGGAGCCGGCGCAGGGATGCCTCTTCCAGCGCATTCGACTGAACACTGCTGGGAGCAGGGGGGTGGACTGTATGCGACCAGCTGAGGTCCTTCCCAACCCTCATTTCCTATGATTTGATGACGGTTCCTTGGGGCCGCGGTGCCAGTCCTGTGCAGCCTGCCTTCCAGTTTAAACACACGACTGGTCCCAGTAACTTAGGCTGGATCAGATCTACCCTGCCCAAGGGTCAGGAGGACCCTCACCGTAATGCAGAATGGAGGGTATCTATGTGTATAATAATATAATGTGTAATAAGCCCTATGTATTAGGGACCCTAAACTCAAGCCTGTCAAAAGGCCGTCTAGCTTCGGTGCCTTTTGTGCTGCCGTAACAGGTCCCCAGCGTATGCGATGCTGTGGAGAGGAGTTCAGAAGAGACCTATGGGAACAGGCAGCTTGGCGGCATTGGGGTGGTTTGGAGGTGCCAAACTTGAAGCCTGAAACGCCCTTAATGCCCTCCTTTCTCGTCTCCCCTCCCTTCTTTTCCAAAACAGCTGCAGGTGGCTCAGGCCAGGATGGCGTACCTGGAACAGGCGATGGTCGAGCGGTCCATCGTCAGCCGGCAGGAGGCGCTGATCTGTGACCTGGAGAACAAGCTGCAGTTCCAGAACGTGCAGATCAAGCGCTTTGAGGTGCCGCATGTTTTTTTAGCTGCCTACGTGAGCCTGGGGCAAAGCGTCCTCAGCAAAAAGGGCTGCTGTTTTGAATGCCCTCTGCCACCCTCCCTTGACAAGTGCCTGCTGCAGTAGAGAAAAAGCATGGTCCTGCCACGCAGGGGGCTTGGCCAGCATCACTGAAATGCGGCTGCTGCTGGGGTGGGGGAAAGGCCATGTGGTTCATCGTGGTGTAGAGAAACGGGGTGGAAAGCAGGGCTGACTCCTGTTCCCAGGATCCCCGGAGCAGACTTCTGCAGCGCAAGGACCCGCTGCTCCCCGCTGTGGGCAGAGGGGAAGGCTGAGCATTAGCTCGGCCTCTCTGTTGCTGGCATCCGATGCCTTCACAAGCCCATATAATTTGTGCTGCGGCAATTAATTGTCTGCTTTACGGCTGCGTGCATTGAAGGCCAACTGCAGGCTCTGCGCTGCAAAAGCACAGCGGGAAATACAGCTCCTGCCTCCGAGTGCTAGAGCAATATATTTATTATGTTTAGCACCTTGCCTTCCCAAAGGCAGCACAGAGCTGTGCCGCCCAGCTCCGAATCCAGCACAGTGAGGGCCGTGCCCCACGTAGCAATCACCACGTGCCCCACGTCCACGTGTGCACCCCGAGTTGCAGCAGCCCCTGCCTAGGCTTTCTGCGTGGGCGCATGGAGCTGAGGGGGTGAGAGCGTGCTGCTGTCGCTCCCAGATCGTGGGAGGTCCTGATGCAGAGGGTCTCTTAAGGCACGGCCCCTTGAAGCATCCTGGCATGCATTAGTGCTTCTCAGTTTAACCCCTCGGGGTCCACAAATGCCAGTCCCCCCCATGGCACCTACAGATGTCTGGCTGCCGCCTGGGAGGTCGGTGCAACTGGGAGTCGTTAGTGAGCATCGCCTCCTGGCACCTTCCCTCTCACCCTGGCCCAGGGGGGATAGCAGGCTGCTTCCATGTTAGTGCACGGCTGCTTTTCATCCCCCCTTCTTCAGGTCCTGCCATTGCACTGCGGCGATGGTGGCTGCGGCCCCTGAGCATGCAATCTCTCGGGATGCCTCTGCAGAGCCTTATGCTGCTCTGTGCTGGGTGGGGCCGGTGTCCCCCTGACCCACCGCAGGTGCAGCGACGGGTGGGCCGGAGCGGTTCTTCCAAAGCGATCGCAATCGGATGCATTTGTCGGGTCGGCCTCGACTGCAGACAGGAGCGAGGGGACAGGCAGAGCAGGGCTGGCTCCGAAGCACTTCCCCACGCCCTCCTGGCAGTAGATCGTGATGTGCGCTGCAGCCTGTCTGCAGCATGATCCGGGTCTGGAGCCTGCCCCCGAGTCCGAGAGCAGCGGGCTATGCCTCCAAATGAGACAGCTGTCATTTTAAAGCCATGGTGGAGTTCACAGCCGGGCTGTGCCTGGGATTTGCTGCTCCAGGGAGGCAAAGGCTGGCTGGCTGCTGTCACCACCACGAGCGATGTCCTGGGCCATGTTTGACAAGATAATAAGCGCAAATAAACTTCAGGCATCCAGGCCTTTTTTTCCAGGGCGAGCAGGGAAATGCTCCGGGCCGCGTGCATCCTAAGAGCAGTGCCAGGCCTGCCGCAAGCACGCCCCGCGTGACCCTCCCTGTCTTTCCAGATGCTCGTGCTGCGTTTGCGGGACAGCGTGATCAGGATGGGCGAGGAGCTGGAGAAGGCGGCCGATTCGGAAGCCCAGGAGAAGGAGAACGCCAAGTACTACCAGACGCGCATGGAGGAGATGAAGGCGGACATGAGCGAGCTGGCGCAGCGAGAGCTGGAAGCCAGTCGCAGGCGGGTGGAGCTGGTAAGGGGCCGTCGGGGGAGAGTGGGGGCTGCTGGGTGGTGGCTCTCCATCTCGGATGCCAAGGGCAGCGTCGCTGCGTGCAGGTGCTACCAGTCCTCCGTTGCCCCATGACATGATCCTTCTCTTGGCTACTTTGGGCCAAGACGGGATTTATTCCAGACTTTGGGGTCTGGACCTTTGCCGGCGCAGCCTCAGGCGTGACCCATCTCCCTTCTGGGTAGGAGCCGGCTTGTGGGCTGGGGGTGCCGCGGTGCTGGGAAATCCAGGTGCAGGCAGGCGTTCAACCCGCACATCGTGCGAGGGTTTCTGAGATGCAGGAAGCCGATCTTGTTCTGAGCTGCGCCAGTTAATTGCCCACGCCAGCGTGGCAAATCCCAACCCCGGCCCGTCTGTTGCATTGGATCATTTCGAAGCTCCCGGCACCCGCAGGTTGGCCGTAGGCCCCCAGAACAACGAGCCGTTTTCGGCTTCGTGTTTCATACGTTGTCTTGTTCGCCGCGGCCCTCGAGCAGGCAAGCAGCATTTCACGGGCCACCTCCTCCCACTGCCTGCCCTGCGCTTCTCTCGTCAGCCGCATCGCCTTCGGTTTTGACGCCCGCAGAGCGTTGCTTCCCGTCGCCTCTCGGCCCGAAGCATTGGGGTTTGATACCAGTAAGTGTTTGTTTAGCGATCGACTAGACCTCCGCTGCTTGTTGCAGCTCGGGGCATCCAGCGACCTTTCCAAAGGAAAAGGTGCGAGAGTCTGAGCTGAGGCGCGGCGTGTGGCTCAAAGGCCCTGCGTCGTGGGTGATACGGGTACGCGGGTGGTATAGAAATGGCCGGGAAACTCTTGTCAGAAAGCAGCCGTTCACTCTCAGGAAAGAAAGGGAGGCCTGAATCTGCAGTGGACTCCAAGGAGGTGGTGCCGTCCCCAACCTTGCAAGTCTTCAAGAGGAGACTGGACACGCGCCTTGTTGGGATCGTGTGATCTCAGCAGGATTCCTGCATTTGATTCTAGCTCAGCGGGGTTCGACTCGACGATCTTTCAAGGTCCCTTCCAGCCCTGTGATTGATACGAATCTATGAAAGGAAACCCACCCAACGTTTGACGGGCTCCTCGTTTTCATCTGCAAACACCCAGGGCGTGTGGTTCGGCCGGGTCAGAAGATGGGGGATGGCTTTTCCAACCACAAAACCAAAAAGCAAGCATTGGGAGGGTCTTCACCTTGCATTGCTTCCTGGAACCAAATGAGACGGAGGCAAGTAGTAGCTGCAAGAGCTGCAGATTCATTGCAACATTGAGGGAGTTTGCCCCGTGGAAATCCTGGGTTGGATGGCTCTGCGCGGCAAAACAGAACCAGCTCGTGGAAATAATAAGAGCACAAAGAAATGCTATAGATATTGAGGTTGTTTCGGATTGATCCAAAGCTGTTGTGGGGTTACCTGCACCCGCTGAAGCCCATGTGCGAGCCTCATAGGAAGCAGTGAAGGAAAAGTGCTACGCCGTGAGATCAGGCCTGTGTGGATAGAGCTGGAAATAATTTCTCCCCATCGGTGGAGGTGTGGAGGGGGGTGATGAAGTCTCCTTCCCAGTAAGTATGTTGGAAACCAGTGACTGCTGTGAGTGAGGGCTGACATGGTTTCATCGAGACCCAGAGGGTGTATCACAGCAGTGTGAACATTTTCTGAAAGCCAAGGCTCTCCTCTGGACCCTGTGCGCTTTTAATAACACTTAAATAAAACATGGCACTATTGCTGTGATCTCGGAGCCTGGCCGTGCTTCTCAAGTCACTGGGTGAGAGCATCAATAGTTAATAGCCCACCACTTATGGCTCTGCTCCGGCTAAATCTGACATCAATTATAAATACCACATCAATTATTCGCTTAACATTGTGCTGGCCCAAGTCTGCACCCACCAAATAAAAGAAAAAAAAAAGAGAGAAAAAAATAATTCCCAAAAGACGCATGTTCCGGTGAATGAATGAGGGAAACGGTTGAAAGAGACTGATTTATTATACAGACTCAACTTTCAAAAGACAGGGTTTTGCAAGAAGATGTGCAGGAGGATGGCAGGTCTAATCCTGAGGCTGGCAGCGGCTTGTATCTCGCCGCGGAGAAGGCGCGTCCCATCACTCGCCTCGCTGTGTCCGAACTGTGTCTCAGCCCGGGGCCAGCAGCACGGGCTTCCTTGGGGAGGGAGCGACCAGCCCAGCCTTTCCAGCTCTTGTGCTCCTTGCTTTCACTGCATGCGAAAAGCGTCCCGGTGTCTCCTCCCCAGGAAAGACCTGCCTGTGTAGGACACGCTCAGAGATGCTTGCTGCTTTTCTCTTCTCGCGTGCCGTGCCGAGCTCCCCGGGGGCGGATAAGATTGGCCGCGGTGACCAGTCCTTCCTGTGCGTTGGCAGAAGAGGATTGTGGAAGGGATGGCAGAGGAACTGAGAGTTAAAATAAAGCCCGGGGAGCTTTTCCGAGTATCTAACGGAGCTCGTGAGTTGGTGCCGTAAAGGCCAAGCAGTCGAGCACAGTTTTTTTCCCAGCATGAGCTGAGCTGGAGAACATGGGTGTGCTGCCCAGCATACTGGGACAGAGTAGCTGTATTTATGCCTGTGGAGACCAGCCCAAGGGGTAGGTATCCTACTATCAGTGCCCGGGTGTGCTGGCTCGGACGTGCCCAGACCTCCGCGTGGACAGACCCGAGGGTATCCCTGCAGTGCGGGCGCTGGGAGGGTCCTAGGGGAGAGCGTGCCCTTTCTCTACAGAGCGCCTCTGCCTCCGAACCAGCACAAGCACTGCAGCTTCTCGTACTCGACCCCCGGATCTGCTAGCAAGCTCAGTCCCCTGGGCGCTTGCACCTGCAGCCGGGTCGGACCAGTTACGGCCCCACCAAGATCCCACGGGTCCCCGTGCAAAGGGTCCTGCCGTGCATCAATGCACCCAGGAGCAGCCTCCGGCCTTTGGAGCAAACTCACCCGTATTCCCTAAATATTTCTGACATGACTGGAGGGGAAGCTGTGAGCATGGCAATAACTTGGCCTGAGAAAAGGCATTTTCCAAAGCCCGCGTGCCTAGGGAGGAGGGGGGTTTAGGTCACAGCCAGAGTGTAAATAACCCCTTTTATGGTTCTCGTGACAGCAGATATCCTTCCTAATTACAGGAGTGTTGTCCGGGTGCTATCCAGAATGGCTTAGCACATTATAGCCCTGGTGCTTACAAACTGTTTTCATTTGCAAGACTTAATAGTTTCTCGGCATTTGCCTTGTACTTGACAGAAGAAATATAAAGATATTTATACTCCTAGCCAGGTGTATGGCTGAGCTCCTAAGAGCGTTGCACTGCAAAGCAAATTACAGGGTCTCGACCAAAGTTTAAATAAGCTCTTTGAACTGCCTGCCACAAATGCATGAGTCCCTTTCTGCTGTTGTTCCTTTTGGAGTTGCTTTTCTTCTTTTAGAGCTGATGGTGCCGGCTAAATATAGCCCAAGATCATATCAAGTGAAGTCAGTCACTCTAAGCCACATTTAGAGATGAGATCGCATGATTGGAAAATCTCTTCCTGAAAAATCGACTGAAGCCTAATGAGATCCATTGCATCTAAGCTGTACAGTTTTGTTTTGCCATTGAAGGAAATATATGCTACAGGAATTAATTGGCACTTAGAGTTGTTAATACCAATTACAAATAATGCCTGTGTCTGAAAGATTAGAAAGAGATACTAATCTGGTCTCGCCTGAGATTTGGGCTGCAGAAATGTTGTCACTTCAAACTTGCTGCAAACCTCCAAGTTAATTACTTAATTAAGAATAATAATGATTGATGAATGTTGCAGGTGTTTGTTAAGTTATTCAAATGGCGGCAACCCAAGCTGTGTTAATTAGATTACACTTCACTTAAGGTGGAGGGGAGATTTGGCGAAGGTGACGTTGTGATTGCAGGATGCAAACAAACACGAGAGACGGAGCCGAGGAAGTCGCCGTGGATGTTGCACAGTCTCCGACTAGAAATCCATTATAGTCGCATTACATTAGTTCAGTCCCACTTTGCTTAATTTTGTCTTGGAGGCAGTGGAAGATAAGTGAAAGCCCAGATAAGCTGATGTAGAAGCTGTAAGAAAATAAGTTCTGTAAATCCATCTTTTCTTTTTTTTCAGAGACGCGTGAAAGCCAAGGTCCTCCTGTGCCGAGGCAGTGAGACAGAGAGGGCAGGGGGGTAGGATGCTTCTTCCCAGTCCCCGGTGGGGTATTTTCCCAGACAACAGACTGGGAGCTGTAAAGGCCACATGCTCCCATTTGTATAAAGGGCCCCAACAGGCTCCAAGGCCGGATTCTGCTCTGGTGTGAAGGGGGCACACTGGTGTGCCAGCATGGTTGAGGATACACAACAGCATGTGTGCACTCGCCCACCTCAAGGGAGAATGGGCATCTTTATCTGGAGCCTGGAGTCTCGGTGGGGTTGTTTACTCGGTGGGTATTTACATCAGCTTAAAGTTACTGCGCAGTAAGTGGGAATAGGCTGGCATCTACACATGCAGGTGTGAAGGCGCATTAGTGTGGACCAGCTGGGGACTAAAGTTATTCCCAAGTCAATCTACACGCACAGTGTTACTGCGCAGTAAGGCATCTACACGTGCGTTGCTACGTAGTAACTAATCAGGTGTGTGTTTGATACCTGCATGATTCCGGTATCAAAATTATGCCCAAGTCACCATATTGACTGTGCAGTACAGGTGTGAACGTGTAGATGTGTGCCCGTACCGCGTAGTAATTTCAGTTGCTGTACAGTAAATGTGCATGTGTAGACGCACCCAGTGACACCAACGCAGGCGCGGCCCTTCCTCCTTTGGATTTATGCCGGCATAACGAGAGCAGAAAGGTCTGCCACCTCCAAGCAAAGGCAGCAGAAAGCTCCCGGCTGGGACCTGGTAGGCCTTCCAAGTGTTTCGAGTGCATAAGCATGCAAAATCAAACCACGTTGTCCGTGCGCTTGCTCATCACCTATTACAGACTCTCCTCTTGTCTTAACC